TGTTCAATCATGTCACAAATGTTTTTGTATAATGTGGAGGTTTTAGAGTTAAGTGTGTACGAAAGCTCCTGATTTGAAGAAGGCCTAATATAAGGCCGAAACGTCGGTGAATTTTTAATCCAGGAGTTTGATTTTTGTCCTAAACCTCACTATTTCCATCAACTACTTCTAAACCAAGGACACGAACATCTAAACCATCTTCGGAAAAGTTTTTTTGTTGACCGAATCAGATGCTTTCACTAAATCTATGATGGCCATGTATAGAGGTCGATTTTGTGCTCCGGAATTCTCTTGCATTTGTCTTGCATTGAAAATCGTGTCAGCTGTACCTCGGTTGGGTCTAAAGCCACACTGTGTCTCTGGGAGGTTATCTCCGGCAGTTGGGATTAAGTATACGATTTGATAATATCCTGGCAAGTATTTTTCCCCGCAACAGAAAGTAGAGATATTCTTTTGTAGTTTCCACCTCGGTTTCCACCTCAGACTAATAATAAAACTAGAGACCAAACATGCCATTTACAAATCGCCCAATGTTTACAATCAATCATCTTTTAGTCCATGACATAAGTAAGATAGAGATAGACCTATAAAATGGCAACACTGTTCAGTGGCGGCGAATTCAGTTTCCTCTGATTTTTTCCCAGAATTCAATAGAAGTTTTACTCACAATAAATTACCATAAATATCCTCTAACTACGCCAATGTCAAGATTGAAATGATGTCAAATTTCTTACCGCCGAAATATCGAATTCTGTTTGGAATCCTTACAGATAATACATCGACGTACCATTGTTACTTTCTCCACCACACTTTCTACAGTTTTGAATTCAAAAAAAACACTCAAAATCTCAAAAAATCACAAAATTACCTTAATCACTTTCCAGCAACATTGTCAAATCCCTAATGGATGCCAAAAGTCACATAAAATCATCTGATTGGCTGCTCGTAGATGCAACGTTGCCGATGTGCCGTTTTTCGGGCCATATATTCCTGGTTATTCCAGAATTTTCACCAATTTAAATTGAAAAAAGACTAATTATCTTTTTCAAAAAGGCGTTTTAGTTATGTTTCAACAAAGATTGATATAAAAAAAACATTTACATCATGTTAAAACATATTTTGAAATAATGATTATCCGTGAAAACATTTAATATTGAAAATCACATCGGATTATTGGCAACCGGGCATTTCATGCAAAAATCGACATTATGGATGTTGGATTGCAAATTGTTTGTTTACTGTTGTATCTGTCGTTTTTAGTTGGTAATCTGAGGTTTCCACATTGGGCCTGTCTCCCTTTTTAAAAATGGCAACTATAGAGGCATCTCTAAGTTCGGCAGGTATGGTTTCAGTAATCCATATTTTACTTATTAGGATATGGAATTGGGTTAGTCACCACAGGTCAAATGCAAAATGCCTTGAATATAATCAAAAACTGAAGTAAGGAAGAAGGACTTTCCATAAATCCAAGCGAAACAACCAACAACCTAGTTCCGTTTACGAAAAGAAGGAAACTGGATCTGCAAACCTCTATTCTAAACGGAACACAATTACTTCTCTCGGATGAAGTTAAGTATTTAAGGGTCACCCTGGACCGTAAATTTACTTGGAACAATCATCTGAACAAAACAATATCACGAGCTACAGTGGCCATTTGAACATGCCGCAAACTCGTGGGAAAAACATGAGGGATAAGACCAAAAATGGTATTCTGGATTTACCAAACGGTTATCAGACCCATTGTCACCCACGCCTCGTTGGTATAGTGGCCAAAGACTGAGCAAGTTACTGCATAGAACAGTCTACGTAAAGTACAAAGGCTAATCTCTCTAGGAATAACAGGGGCTATGTCAACCTGCGTCACCGCAAATTTAGAGGCACTGCTGAACATGTGAGAAAAAAGAGGACATAATAGATGCCACAGGCTATTCCAGACAAAAAAAAATTGAACCTGGTGATCTAAATGGCCCATTACGCATTCTGCAAGAGGCTGGTATACCTTGGAGGGGCACGGCTAACACCCCAAGAGGTGGGCACCTTACCACCCAGGAAGCTGGCCTCTTTTGGGAGAAGCCTACAAATCTTGGACACCAACTAAAAGCAGAGTCACGCACAAAATATCTGGAAAGGTAGCCAGTGCTTGAGCGGCTGGAACTAGCCGTTACCACTCCATATGCAATCTACAATTTAGTCACCACAGGGTTTAAAGAATTCAGCAGGAATGCCGTCACTACCAGCTGACTTATTGTTCGTTAGTTGTCTGATTGCCTTTTCACCCTCCTCTAATCTGGGAACCTCTATCAGTTCTTGTTGTATTGGTTCCTGTGGAATTTCGTTGAAGATGTCTTTATTAATTTGTGACTATCTGTTGAGTAGTTCCTGAATGTGTTCCTCCCAACGAGAATTAATGGAAGAACTGTCTATCAGCAGTCTTGTGCCATCTTTGGATCGTAAGGGATTGAGTCCTTGGGTAGTTGATCCACATCTTAGTAGCCTGAAATAAGGCCCTTCTGCTGTTGGATTCAGCTAGTTGTTGCATTCCGCTTTTACTATCCACCATTGGTTCTTCGATGCTCGCGTTTGCCTTTAAACCTGCTTTTGCTTGTTGGTATTGCCTTTTTTTACATCACATACAGTCATGGACTACTTTTTCACTTTTTTTTACAGTCGCTGAGTCGCTTTTCCACGCATAATGCGCTTTTTTATTCGGTGTGATAATATGCCCCTGTCGTATTCCCTTTTTCTATACGTACTCTGACTTTAATTTTGTATTGAGGAGTTATCCTGTGATTCCTGTGTCACTGTTATCACTGTTATCCATAGTGGTGCCGTTTCTCATACTCTCTAATAAACTGAAGGAGACGTTTGATCATTTCTCAGATTTCTGAAACTAGTCAACAATCTCGAAGGGTTCAATTCCAAATAGGGTTAAACTATCTCCTTCGATGATAAAAACTTATTTCCAAGAGTTACCCAATGCAGGCATAAAAGTAGTTGAATATTTTCTCATAAGAAATAGACTTAATTCTATTTTCAAAAAAGATATCTATGGTGTATTTTTTCCAAAGATGGATTTTGACATTGAAAACTTTGAAACATAAACAATGCCGCTTGGCCCTGGTTGGTCGCAAAATGAGGTGTCCCTGCAGGTTGACATCAGTTTTACAATGCATATCGTGCAAATGGCATCATGCGACCAATAAGTGGCATTGTTTATGTTTCAAAGTTGACAATGTCAAAATCTATCTTGGGAAAAAATAGAGTTTAGATTTCCTTTCGTCTGTTTGGATCGGAATTTCTTTGACTTTGACAATTGGTTTTACTGTTTTGATAAAGGTCTTATAAAGGATTACACATTAAGTCCATTGTTAGCTGATGTTGAGGGAGACGTTTGTGAATTATTGTCTTGAAAACTAGATCTTGGTAATTTTGGTATAGATATGTAGATGATGCCCTTATACCAGCTTCACAAGCAGTTACAGAGTGATAGGTAGGCGATACTTATTAAATATATATATGCGTACCTACTACTATAAATAGAAGGAAATAATGTCATTAATTTTCTCGACCTAACTATAGATAATTAATATTAATAACGAACAAGATTTTGTCATTTTTCTTGTTGGTACCGCACCTAATCCACAACAGTTTAAACAATCCTCTCAAAAAATTGAATCTATAAATTTTTCTGAAAAATAAACATTACAAACAAGCTGGATTGGAATACCCATAACCATAGAATAATATACGTTCGTATATTATTCTATGCCATAACGAATAGGTATGGACTGAGTGCGGAGTTTATCGTGTCATATCTGGTAGTTGCACAAAATTCTACCAAGCAGAATAATCACTTGACATTGGTATCGCAGAACTTGTTTTCTGTAGATGTCTGATATATTGTTGAACGAAAGGTTGAAATCAATTATTTCCTTTTTTTTCGAATATGTATATTAGGTAGGAAAGTACCCATACCTTCTTTTTTAGTACGCTCGCCACTAAGATGACATAAAATTATTAGAGATCTATTTGATGTCTGATGTAAATTATTCAGTTAGTCCGGAGATAGAGTGTCTCCAAAGATAATATGTTACCTACATGTCACAGAAGTTTTCGTGAATAAAATGACAATGTTGATTGTATTTATTTGTATTATGGATTTTCAAGTATCGGCTACCTCAATCAACCAACATAAATCAAATATGAATAGGTATTATTTTTAATTTGTGAATTTTATCACAGTTCCATTCATGAATCATTCCAGTTTTTCACCATTTAATTTTAAATTATGTAATATGGTGATAGCTATGCTAATTAGAAATAAATTGAAGTGTTCAGAGTGTCAGTAATATTTCTTGTTTTCTGTTTTTTTTTTCTTCATCAGAACAAAAATGCCGGACCTCTATAATTATGAATTTGATTGTGTTGATAATTGTTTCTATACCAAATTTGGGAATCCTAGACTTAGAGCGATCTCGTCTTTATTTTTGCATATTTGAAGAAATTGAAATTAGGAATGATTACTATCACAAAAAACATTTATGATTTACTCTGGAAATTTCGCAAGATAGGTATTCATCCAAGATGATGAACCCAATAGGTAACCCTGGCCTTCGGCCAAATCAAAAATTCAACTGATACTTGGTTACTGGAATTATTTTATTGAAATTCTTAAGCGTGAATAAAAGTTTGAAATTTGATGAAAACTTTTTGAGATCAGCTAACCCATTTACAAGACGTTTGAGAAAATGGTATCTACTTGGTACATACACAGATTACCTACCGCACCTTCCCGTAGAGGAAATCATGTATATTCAATGAATTACATACGAAGTGTACCTAGGTATGTTTATTATACTTAAACCTACGAAGTATGAATAGGTAGTACTGAAAACCGGCGTTAACTAGGTTCAAATGTTAATCTTTCCTTTGTTTACCTTAAATTTATGTTCCTTAACGACTTCATCAACATTTTCAATGAAAAAAATCCATTTATTTACCTGTCAAATCACTTTTGGAAGTAGAAAATCACCAATTAGTCCACCAAGTATTGTTTCAAACCAAAACTCTACTATATCCAGCACTAAAACACCAAAAGTTGAATTTGGAATGCACACGCTGTTCTAATTTTAGTTCCGTTGCGTAACCAAAGACGTCTCTAATCGCGGAAATCGACGCGTTCAACAGGAAAACTTTTGGGAAAATGCAACTTCACCAAATTAAAATAAAACCGTCTAACCTAAGACGTTCACTGGTCGCTCTCCCCGTAACAACTGCCGTTTTTCAAACGAGTTTTCGGACTTCCTATTTAGAAAGCTCTTGGGCGTCGAACAAGGTGGGTTACCAAGGCAGCAAGGGGCGTGACACCCAACGAAACCGTCCAATCGAAGAGTGGTTTTTGAATTAATGTTGTACATGAATTTGTTACTTGAGGTGCTAATTTTCTATTTTCTTGCTTCTTGTAATGATTTAACTGGGTGTATACATAGCTATGAGGCGAACCCCTTAGGGGCTGAGGCGAGTCCAAAGTTATAATAGGAAGTTGGTTGTTTTTTTCTCATAATCATTTGCATTACTTAATGAAAATTCTTGGGCTATTAAGTTCGAACAAGAAATACGGTGGCTGATAATAAAATATCATTAACGAAGTGGGTTAGCCGTAAAAAAATTGCTTGCTTCCCATGTCCAGATTATCAATTAATGATTGGTAATAAGTTGCAATTAAGTATTCCTATAAAAAGCTTGAAGTGAACCACTTCCATCAGTTTCAACGTCCAACGATGAAAAAAAATCCCTTGGAATCTGTTAAAAAATATTACCTAGGTACTATGCAGTCAGACATTTATTAGTTCATTAGTACCCATGCAATCCAATGAAAAATAAATTAGCAGTCAAATGGGAACATGATTTTTGGATCTTTTAGGAACCATCAGCTACCACATATTATATTATTGATCTAGATACATTTATCGGATAGAAGATAATAACGTTGATTTAAGTAATTAATGGTGCACTTTGTCAGTATTTGAAGAGTAACATCTCGTACATGCATCAATAAAGTCCACCATGCCTCTGCTGTTTTGTGTCGATTTTTTTCTAAGACTTCGTAACTTTTTAATGAAATTATCAAGTTGAAAGATGAAATTTCCATATGCTAAACTTTTGTCGTATAGGTACCTAGGTACTCCTGAGCTGTTCCACCATCCCTTTGCTAGATATAAATACTTGATTGAGAAAAGCTCAAGAGATCCTCAACTTGATAGTATCAGAAAATTATATTTTTAGACTAAGAAGATATGGTATACCTATGCTGTGATTATAGAATGTTTAATAAAAATATACCAGGTACTCCAGAGAGGTATTCGTATTTCGTATTTAAGGAATCAAAAATATTTTCAAAATCGGATGGTCGTTATACTCGTTATCACCGTTTGGTCGATTCTACTTTGAAATGCTTCCTTCTGATGGAATGTCATGTGCTTCGGAATATTCCAGGCGAAAATTTTCAACACTTTTTACAGGCGTTAACGAAAAAATTATTGATGCTATTTTGGTACTGTAGATTGTAGAAGAACATGCTCCCAGATCCTTAATAAATCAGTTACATTTTTGAGACAACTATTCTGCTCGTCTATCATGTTTTAATCGATCAATCACAAATTAACGCATTTGAAAACTTAAGTACCACCACACACTGAACGAAGCTCTGTTGCGGACGACCATCAAGCAGCAGTGCTTCGAAAGGATACGGATGTTAAGGGCCGCATACACTACGATGAAACACGATGGTTTTCATTGCCACGATGAAACACGTCGTTCTAAAGCCGAAGTGTGTAATAGAAAGACACGACGGTTTTCTACAGGGCCCCACAGACTACGATGAAAGATGAAACACGACGGTTTTCATCGCCACGATGAAACACGTCGTTCCAAAATCGAAGTGTGTGGTAGAAAACCGTCGTGTTTCATCGTCGGTTTAAAATTCAGTCCGAGCTTGATTTTTGGTACGACGGTTCAACATTTCGTACACACGAACGGTTTTCTACCATACACTTCGGTTTTGGAACGAGGTGTTTCATCGTGGCGATGAAAACCGTCGTGTTTCATCGTAGTGTATGGGACCCTTTAATGACTGCCAAACAAAATCTATAATTCGATAAGCGAAATGGATTTCAAAAAACAAGTTATGTTTCTGCTGAGGATTATTGACATTCCTCCAACTGCTGAGAGTGGAAACCTTCTGGAGGGGTATGTACGAGGTTACCCGTCCGCTCAACGTAGACACTAGACACACCTGTAGTGCTAAGAATTTTGCTGCTTCTCGGCTTGATGAAATTAACACCTATTAGCGGAAAAAATGTCCATCAACCCATGAGGCCCTAATTTTTAACTCCTGGGTTAATGAGGGGCAGCCAATTCCTTCCTAGTTTATTGAGAAGCGAACCGTCCTAATTCCCAAGAACGGAGACTTGTCCGACCCAAAGAACTATCGCTCGATAATATCTTTAAACGCTTGCTACAAGATACGCGACTTTTCTACCAGTGGATACTCCAAGGCATGGGTCCCATGTTCAGTGCATGGAGCAGTGAAAGACTCCTTCCAGTACAAGCGAAGCCTTTTGATGACCTGGATATATGAACTTATTATCTACATGATGGATGCCATTTTGGTAGATCCGACTTAGGTACTATAAGTACGGGTAACACAAAGGTCAACAAAGTAGTAATCCATTTTTCTCAAACAAACTTATAAATATTAAATATAGAGGGGAGAAAAAAATCCAAAGTCAAAAGTCTCACAAGTGTCTAGAATTTAATACAAAAGACGGTTACACGCTGTTTTGCTCATTAATGAGCATCTGGACAACATAATTGAATTTAAAATCTTTAGAAAACCTTCTACAACCGATAATTGTATACAATGGAATTCCAACTCATCATGCTCCCACAAGTTTGCTTCTTTCAGCTCCCTATTTTATAGAATGTTTAAATTACCTCTATCTAAGGAATCCTTTTATAGAGAATTCAATATAATTAAGGAATTGGCAATCAATAATGGGTTTTCTTTAGCTACAATCAATAAAATTTATTTTAAATTTATGAACAAATACAAATTCATACTTATCATATTTCTCATTCTAAACTATGCATTGAACACAATTAAGTACAGATCTTTAACGCTTTTCGGTTCTGATGTTTCTCTTCAACTTGCTTCTTTCTTCAACTATCTGAATTTATCAATAGCATTTAAAACACGGAACACTTTAAAAAAACATTAAACACCAAAGATAGAAACGGATCAACTATTAAAATCAGGGGTTTACCCTTAAATTTTGGTGATTGCTCGGCTGTTTATGTTGGACAATCGGGTAGAAGGATTTCAACCAGGGTTAAGGAGCATCTGCACCTTTTCAACTGAAACAAAAATCCTGAAGTTATTGAGACAAAAGCAGCATTTGCCAACCATCTCCTATCATCAGGTCATGATTTCTCAATATCAGAGAACGTATTACCCTCTTGCACGAATGTCCCAAGAGTAAAAAGTTAGATCTTCTCGAGAGAATAGAGATCACGCGGGCCAAGAAAAGTCTTGTTCAAATTTGTGTGAATGACATTTTCAATATTGAACCCGGCCTTATTTTCAACAATCTCAAATTGACTATACAGGGTATCCCAGGGAAAACAGTTCACCTCGATTTATTGCATTTAGAATGAAAATCTGGAAAAACGCTCGGACATGTCGTAGCTTCAACCCCCTAGCTAGGGGTAGAACAGCCCCCCAAATTTGAATAGGGGATTGGGGGCGTGTCATACCTTGTTTTAAAGGTCTCATTGAGTTCTTTAGGGCCCTAGAATTTCCTTTTATTATTTTCATCCGTAACGAAATGACAGCTTGTCAAAATCTTGGAAATAGGCTATTGTTTTAGTGGGAGTGAAAGCGATACGATTATCTTTCTGCAAAATCAAAAGGAGATCGATTAGTTTCAGCTAATCTAGAAACAATTCATATAATTCTTATTGGAAAAAATAAAAATAAAAACCCTTAACTTGAAATTGAAGTTTTTTATTATTATTATTAATTAGTTGTACACGTGAATTGTATATTGTAAATAAATAAATAAATAAATAAATATATATTTACGGACTGGCCATTTACAGAGATACTTAAGGACTAATACATGAGCATTTGTTTCCTTAGCCTATACTTAAAAGTTAATAAACTAGGAACAAAAAAATCAAAATTGTTGTTTAGATCACAGAGAGTATTTGCGCTTCTACACATTCTTTGGATTGGCCTATTCATGGCATAATTGGTAACATGAAAAACTATATAAAATAGATCTTGAGACCTCGTGTATCTTAGAGGAACAAGAAAATTAATTCTACTAAGCAAATCTGGTGTTTTCAATTGCCCAGTAACAATTTTATACAAGATACTTAAGTCTAAATAAATTCTCCTATTTTCCAAAGATGGCAACCGCAACAAAGTCAAGATGTCTGCATAGCTTATTTCATCTGATGGAATACCTAGCTTGTATGCAATAAACCTAAGGAACTTTTTTTGAACTTTCTCAATTTGCTCTTTGTAACATAAACAGTGAGGTGACCAAACACTACAACCATATTCTAGTGATGATCTGATAACAGAACAATAAAGAGACTTGAAACAGTTTACATCATCAAAATCTGAAAGACTTCTTTTTATAAAAGCTAGCAGTTTTAGAGACTTATTGGTTACAAATTCAATGTGTTCTCTAAAGCACAACGTAGGGTCGAAAATTATGCCTAGATCCTTTATTGAAGTTACATTTTCCAAATCTTCAGAATCTAACCTATAGTCAAATATTATAGGATTTTTATTTCTATAATACGTCATTGTCTTACATTTATTTATATTCAATGAAAGGCCAGCAGATAGCAGTCATCGATATTAGATATAGTTTTGCATACCTTCAAGTCATCTGCATACAATAAAAATTTACTATCCTCAAAACAATTATTTATATCATTAACAAAACAGTTAAACAATACTGGTGATAGGTGTCCACCTTGTGGAACACCCGATGTTACTTCAATTCTAGCTGATAAATATTGATTAATTTTGACTCTTTGTGTGCGCTCTGAAAGAAAACTCCCTAACCATAATAACAGTGACCCATGTAATCCCATATTCGACATTTTTGACAGTAAAACTGAGTGATTCACTCTGTCGAACGCCTTCGAGAAATCGGTGTATATAACATCAACCTGACACCGTTCCTCCAAGGCGTCCAACAGTAGTTCTTCAAACTCCAAGA